GCCTTTGATATTCTGTGCAAGAGAATAACAAATAGCAATGGTGACAGTACAGTTGTTGCATTTGGTGATGGTAAATTCTCATCAACATCATGTGGGCATGCACCAGGCCCTGTAAAAGAATTTTGCCAGGAGCTTTCTAGACACTGCAGGGTGGTGAACATTGATGAGTTCTGTACTTCCTCAGTCTGTTCTTTGTGTGATGGGTGGTTTGATAAGCATCAAAAATTCTGATCTGTCAGAGTCTGCAAATCAGTCTGTCTGACACATTGGAATCAAGATGTTAATGCTGCCCATAACATAAGGAACATTTTTTTGCACACAAACACTTATGGAGAGAGACCCGATCCATTTATAAGGGGGACTTACTGACCTCTCTGCTGCCATTTTAACTGTGGCAGGATATGTCTAGCTGGCAGCAGCATCAGCAATGATGACTTTCTATGAAGCCACAATTAGCTATAGGGAGGATTTGGATCTTCCTGATTTAGTGTAATAAGATTTACTTGTTAGTCAATAAAAGTCAGGCAGTGATAATTGATTCGAGTAGTGATGGTGAAAATGTCATGTACTCCAAATCACTCACGGTAAATTATTCAGCGATGGTTTTATATAACCCATTTTTGTTAAATTAATTAGCTAAATATTGTCTATTGTTATTATTATTATTATTATTATGTTACATTATTTAAATAATTAATGTTTAATATGACGTTTATTAAAACTGTTTTTTCTAATATGATTACGCATTTGATAACTAATTTCTGACATTATTCTGTTATTTCAAATGCCCAAAATATAAAAATTTTTGATGCAAAGTTAACTGTGTAACAAAATATAAAATACAACAATAAGCTTTAAAATAAAATAAAAATGGCTACATCTGTTCAATTTACTGTGGGAAAACTTGATGCTGGAATGGTAAATAGAAATTATAAATATAATAATAATATATAATTACAAAAATTAAATAAACAGGTAAAATAAATAACAAATTTTTAAATGTAGGCAATCTTGTTGACAGAAGAACATCACCTTATTGAGTTTCCCTCACTTCTACTTCCACCTGGTGTTTCTTCAGGCAGTATAGTGAACATTAATGTTGCTCGTAACTACGAGCAAGAATCAGCCCAGAGTCGAGATTTTTGGTCACTTCAAGAAGCCATATTAAAAGAGTTTGGAGAGAATTCATCACCTGGATCGGATAAAATCAGAAATAAATTAGAGAATTTGACCGATATAAATATTTGTTTTGGTAATCTTGTTGATGGTGGTGACGACGAGAACGACAACGACGACGATGGTGATCACGACAATAACGGTATTGGTGAAAGTGATAATATAAAACCAAAAAGTAAACAAGAATTAATTGAAATTATAAAAAGAATTGGTGCAAAATATGAAGAACATGTTGGACCTGACACAACTCATTTAATATGTAATGCACAAGGTGGTATTGAGTATCAACGAGCAATTGAAGGTAATATACCAATCGTGAAACCTGAATGGTTGGTTGCTTGTGAAAAAGCTGGTAAAATACTAGCTTCACCTTACTATCTTATACCACAATCAGGTGAAAAATAATTTAATAATATTATTTTTTTAATTAATTAATTATTGGGAGATGTTTGGATAGATTTTAATAATTTATTTGGAGTTTTGGGGTAGATTTAATCAATTTCTTTATTTTTATATTATCATTTCTAACAATAATAATAATAATAAAATTTTTTTGAAAAAAAAAAACAATAATAGAGAAAACTAGAAAAGATCAAATATAAATATTATTTTTTCTTCTATTAATAAAATGTATTATTATATAGATATGCAACTATTATGGCACACATTCGTTTAATACTATTATTCATTTCCTAATAGTAAAAAGAATATATAGATAGAAAAAATATATATATATATATATACATATTAATAAAGACTACAAATAATAAATAAATAGATCATTAATTATAAGAAAAAAAACGTAACTTTTTCGTTTTTTGTTTTTAATATGAAAGATAAGATATAAAATATATATTTATTCGATGATTGATTTTTTTGGTTTTAATTTCCAAAATAATTTATCGTATAGTATCATTATCATTTTACCAAAGGACGTACATGACCTGTTTCATCTTTACATAACCTTTCATTGTATTTTTGCATTTCCTTAAGATATGCATTTGCCTTTGGATCTAATGTAGTGGCATCACGACTTTCATCATCCGCATTTACACGTTTTGGTTCAGGTTCGATGTCTGATGATGATGATGGATTAACTTTACGTTTTCCTCGATTTTTCTGTTAAGAATAAAAACACAATGTATTTAGTGATTTGAAATAATGAATAAAGATATTACTTGATAAATGAAAATACCCGTCAATAATAATTGATAATTGATACTTACAATTCGATCTTCGAATGCCTTCTTCCTAATAATACATATATATATATAGTATTATATATTTTTTGAAAAAAGATTTTATTTTACACATTAAATATAATAAAATGAATGAAGAATCAAATGATATTAAAAAAAACAATTACGATTTAATTCGATGATTGTTTTTAAAAGTAAATTTTTTAAAGGAAAAAATTTTATTTTTAAATTGTTAAAATAGTGTTGTAAGTAAAAAGAAAAATCAAACAATTCCTGAAGAAACTTTTCTTTTGTTATTCTAAGAGACTAATTAATTATCTTGATATATTAATCATATTAATCAAAAATTGAAACCTGTTCCTCTTAATCAGCCATATCAAATATGCATACATACAATATATATGCATATAAATATATAAATATACATACAATATATATGTATATAAATGTATAATATAATGTATATGTGTGTATATATCTTGGATCAAAGAAAAAATGACCAAATGGTTTTTCTTTCTTACTTTCTATTTACTTATTTTCTTTGTCTCTATAAATTCCTTATCAAAAGAACAATTATAAATGTATAAATCTATATATTTCTTTAATTCCTCACCTTTCTAAAGCTTCAAGTTGTTTCTTTTTTTCATCTTCCTCTGCTTTCATTTTTTTAAAACGATCCAAAAAACTCCCATCATTTGAAAAAATGTTTATCGCGGGAGCATTCTTTGAAGCTTTTGGAACGCCATTATTTATACTATTAGCATTATTGTTACCGTTACTATTACTAACTCCGTTACCACTATTGCTACTATTACTACTTAAACTATTGCTATTGTTAATGCTAGCATTGGTTGTTGATGTTGTTGATGTATTACTAACATTTGGAGTGTCTTTTGTATTTGATAAATTGTTGTTGGAAGGCCTTGAATCATCATTGTTACTATCACTATCGCTACTATTACTATTATTACTATTCATTATTTATTTCTACAAATTGTGGAAAGTTTGAGAAACAATAAATGTAGTGCACAAATTTCTTAAATTGTGTATTCTAAATTGTGTATCATTTGATTAGTGCTATAACCAATTTTACTAATATCACTTTTTCTTCCTCTTTTCGAATGCAACAAATAATTCGGTCTTCTTATAAGATTGTAGTCATCACACACACAAATAATTGCGCACAAAAGATTTACGGAATCGTGATCTTTAAGAATATCTTTGTTTCCTTCAGAAAAAAACTTGTGATGATTTAAGTATTTAGTCATCTCTCTCTAGATGAATCAAATGGAATTCCCAAATTTTGACATTAGAAGGAGGTTACTAATACCATCTTATCAAATAAATCAAAATTGTTTTTGCTTGATAACATATATTAAAAAAAAAGAACTCCAGATTCAAAATAACTTTTTGACAATAAAATAAAATAAATAATAATCCAAATCAAATCATAACCAAAACCATTCGCTGGTAAATAGATCCTTATCAATCTGATCGAATCTTTATCCTGTTGTATGTATTACCTTGGGGAGTTATTTGAAGAACGGGATATTTTAACCAGGAAACAGTCAAATATTAATTATTTGGTATTAGGAATCTTGGTGTGTGGGGGTTCCTAACCATAACCCCTAACCCTATTCAAATATTCGTTTAATATAATTATAATCACGAATACCCTTATTAATATGAATAATTACGAATATATCACTCCCACAGTAATTATAAAGAATATTCATAGTAATTATGGGTACCCTTATTTATTAAAATAATTATTATATCATTTGTATAATTAATAATCATAATTAATAGATAAAATATCTTATAAATCATTACTATTACTGTTGCTTGAATGTTTGAATATTAAAAATACCAAAAATAATTATGAGTACCAAATAATTATGAAATGAACTTAAATTTATTCGAATATTCGTAAATAGATTGATATTCGAATACTCGTAAAAACTTGCTTTTCGGTTATGAACGCTAGGTGCATGAATGAAAACATGAAATATGCAGTAATAAAATAAATCTTTACCATATTTATAATTAATGTAATTTTTCTAAAACTTCTCTAGTTTTATTATAAGCGAAAAAAGTTACAGCGCTAACAGGAGCAGCTTTAATTATAGCAGGAGTTAAACCTCTATAAAGCCCACAGAAACCTTCATTTCTTATGATAGTTTTAATATTAACTATTATTGAATTGGTATATAAAGGAATATAATTTATAAAAAAATATTTTTGTTTTGGTGAAGGAGGTATTTGTAATTGCATACGTTTACGTATTAAATCTAATGGAAATACACCTGTTTTACTTATTATACCAGACATTGCTCCTATAATCATATCATTTGTTGATGAAAACATTTTTAAATATTGATTTTTTTCCTGTTATGATTTTGGTTATTGTAGTTGATACCTAAAAAGGTAAATGATTGTCATACACGTGATCAAAATGTCTTACCTGGGGGTGGGGGAGTAAGGAGTATAGGGACATTCAGCATGGTATAACTCTTGCAGAACGTATGGTATGGTATGGTATAACCCATATTTTTCCATACCAAGTCACACAAAATTTTATTCTAAATCCTTTTTTGGTGGGTGTGAAGGGAAGTATGTTAGATTTAAGCATTGGTATACAACCATTTTATTACACTTATACAATACCATACCATACGTTTTGCAAGAGTTATACCATACTGAATGTCCCTATACTCGTATTTTTTATTTTGAAGTACAAAGATGTTTGATGGACCACAAATTATATTTCATTCAGTCCATATGTGAATTAAGCCATGTGATCGGCGTGAATCTAAAATAACAACAATAATAAAAATTTGAGGAACGTCCTGCGTCACAGCAACAACAGCAGCAACAAAATCGTAATTATTATCACGATAACAATAATAATAGTAGCAACAGCAAACAAGTAATCATCATCATTATTATGATAATGATGAGAAGGAGGAGAGTAAAAGTAGCAAAGGCAGTGATGACGATGAGGAAAATAGGATTGAAAGACGAAAGAGAAAATGTTGATAACAATGACGACATGGAGGGAGTTGTGATGATGATATGGAATGTAAAAAAAATAAAAATCATTATTATTATTCTCAACGTTATAACTTGCCTAATAAAACTTTTAACGTAAATATATTTTGTTAATATTTAACTTATCCCAAATGATTGATAACAATTAATTAAATTCGTTAACTTGAATATAATAATACACCAACACTTCTTGAAAATATTTATTTCTTTTTCTTTATATATATATTATAATAAATAACAATAGTTAAATATTTTAATTACCATTAGAATTATCTAGTTTTTTTTTCATTATGTAAAGGTCATGAAGTTGTTTTTACATATCGTTGATATTAAATTATCCATGATACATATAACATCTTTAATCATATTCTTTTCTAAAATATAATTTAATTTATGATTTAAAACAATAATAATATTTACATACAATTATATAAGAAAAGAAACACATGAACGGTATACTTCTAATTTTAAAATGCATTCTTGGAGAACTATTGATTAGTCTGCACCAGAATTATCAGAAATAATTTTGTCATTCGAAAGATTGTAATAATGATAATAATAATAATAATAATCAATTTAATCGTTGCGTAACAATTATTTCTGATCGTATCGATCCACTTTTTCTTATGAAAAATTAAAAATTAAAAAAAGTAATCAATAGTTAATAGTATATGATAGTATTTTTATTACAGGAATATCAAATAAAAATTTTGATGTTTAATTTCTATCTAATGCGGACACCACTCGAGCAAAAAAATTCTTTCTGGACAAGTATTATTATTGATTTTTAATGCCTTCACTTTTAATTAATTTGGTTTTATTGGCTTTGCTAATAATTCCGAAAAAAAGTAAGCGTGGGATTAAATGAAATGTAATTGCAAGGAATGGTAAAATCAGTAGTCCAATTGTGATATTGAAAATTTTTAACAAATGCTCACTTTGTCTGGTTTTGTTGCAGCATGCCATGATATTTGACCCCTGTAAATCTGCAATGTCCTACGACTATATAATACTAAACCACCAATTGATTCCTTATTGCAGTCGGCGCTGGATATAATGAAGCATTTGTTTTTTGAAAAAATTCACTAGTATGGGTTCATTATATAAAAAGATCGTCAAAATGTCATATTAAGCTAAAATTTTATTGGTTAAAATATATTAATATATTTATGAAAAAAATAATAGATCGGATATATATATATATATATTATAATCATTTAAACCATTTTTCTAATATGGCTAGTTTTCTGGAATTAATTTCATGTCTACCCTATTTGATTTTTGATTGTATTGATTTAATTGATGTGTATTAGTTCAAAAACAAGATTTTGAGGTGTATTTTTAATATAAGAAATCACTGTACCTAAAGATTTTAATACTTAATCTACAAGTATATCGAATTTGAGCTTCTTATATACAATTAAATTGATTAGTAGCAACTTCATTGCAATCTAGCATTCTAACTGGGATATTGCACTTTAATTGCGACGTAACATTCTAACAATGACGCTAATACGAATAAAAATAAAATAAGAAATGAAATAAAAAATATAAGGAATAAAATAATGAATTTTTATGCAAATAGACAGAGTATGCATATTCGCGCATATCAGCCGATTTGGTTTTCTGGACCTTTTTTCAAACCTTATGCCTTATTGTGTCTTGATGTTAAACACGAGTATTTTTAATGTGTAAACTGGTCGGTAGAATGATAATTACCCTAAAAAAATTTATCTACTCCGCTAAAAAAACTAATCTACTATTCATCAACCCGTCAAACCAATGGCCCCACCTCAAAACCAATGGGTTTTTGCTAGTATAAAGTATTCATAACATTATGATCATACCGTGCTGGATTTGGGGTTCAAACAAAATCAGCGCATATGGTTATCATGATTCATTAAAATAATTTTTGATTTTTACTCGATTTTACACAAACATTATTATATTATTATATTATCCTTTATATCCATAATGAAGAAAGCTACGTTAAACAACGAACAACGTCATCAAATTTGTTTAAAAAAGCAAAATGATCCCAAAAAGAATTGATTGGTCGTTGTGAACAAGAATCCGGAGTAAAAATTGATCAAGCAACAATTTCAAGAACATTAAAGTATTCATCCGAATTTTAAGTAATGAAACAAAACCACTACAGAAAAAATCTCGTAATATGAAATATCCCGAACTTGAACATGCGAAAAAGATTTTATTCTGTCTATGAAGCAAAGCAATATTAAAGATTTTTTTTTGAATAAAAAATAAAAATTATTGTCATTGATCTTTCCTTTTATAGTATGAATATGCATATTTTCGTTAGTAGAAACATGATGCATACGCACGTTTACGTTATGCAAATAGTTCATAAGTCCCGATATGGGACTGAGCTACCTTTATGCAAATGAACAGATGCAAATAGACAGGTGTGCAACTGTGTAATTATTATTATAAATGTTACTATTATATTTTCAATGATATGGAGCTTTATTTATTATGATTGTAACAAGACAAACTTCATTATATACTTATATAGAGAGTTAATATTAAAATTCATTATATCAAGAGCAATATATCTATAATGAAATGGTAAATTTTCTAACTTCATTATATAGTACGATTCACTATATAATAGGTTCACTATATCCAGCGTCGACTGTATTAATATTATTTGCTTTTCTGGGTGTAATTAACTCTAAGCTAGCTAATTGCGTCTTACAACAAAGAAAATATTTACAAGCAAGTTCAATAATTATTTACTTAATATTAACCAGAGAACCTGGCTATGTAGATCAATCACAAGTAGTAATTATTTTTATATATACCAAATCGCCAAAATCAAGTGATAACAATAATAGTAATAGTAATATGTTGTTATACATATTTATGAGAAAAATAAAATAAGCATGCGTGTGAAAATGGTTAACTAAACAAACAAATTATTTTCAACTGGCATAGTAAACGTTCCAGCAAAGGCTCTCTTGGCTATATGCTCATTCGAATGAATAGCTTGAATATCTTCCAGGAATTCATTTTCCAAGAATTATGTCATTCGACTCCTTTACAATCAGCTAGACATTATAAGAAAAATGAACCTTAACTTTCTATATTAATAGGCAAGTCAAAGATACTACCGTTTCCTAAATATTAAACAATAAAAGCTTATTGATCTCTTCTATGGATTCTGTAACTTTTTCCTAATGATCATAATGTGCCTACAAGGCGAATACATTCTTACTATTTGTTGGTTGAATAAATAGATAATTAATAATAAAATATATAACCCAAAAGTATGTAATCATAATAATAATGAATCAATCACTTTACTCAGATGTAAACCTCCATATATCTGTAATTTATTTACAATATTAGATAACCTACAGGGTGGCGGGTATTGTCAATCTTTTTGATAACTTCATAAACATATTTTTAAGAACTTTTTTAAATTTTTCTTTCATTTAATTTTCGAAACAAGTTTTTACGCTTTGGTGATTATTTACTGCACGTTCTGATCTCGGATGTTGTGAAATAGTGATTACGAGAAGACAGGTGATATACCTTATAATTTTCAAACCCAGGTACATTTCCGATGACGGGGTCTCTAAGGGACCTCCACAAATTGACATCAAACCAATTTCTTGGGTGTTCTTTTAATAGTGCATTTTGAGGACTTCCCAAAACAATAAGCTGTTCAAATAGAATTTACTCGAGTACTCTTTATCATAAACAAAAATAATCCATACATACTCAGAAAATCATGACTTCATATATTTGTCTGATAGAATGTTTTATGTAATCGTAAACAAAAATATCTCTCTCTAATATGCATATCATTTTCTTGAAGATAAGACATATCAAGCTTTTTTCTTGGGTTGGATATATCAGTCTAAAAATCTTTAACGTGGCTTTTCTTTTCTCTTCACCCTTAAGTATCAAGAAGTCTGGATGAAGCTTCTTCTCTGTGGTCTGACAAATTTCGGGCCATAACAATCTCATATTTTTCACTTAAAATTGCTAACAGGTCTTTGATAAGTTTGTCAATAACTAAAGCTTGATTTATCTCATTTCCTTCAGTGACAATTCTAAAGCAACTTCAGCCAGCAAAAGAAGTTGAGGGAGTTGTGACAAAGTTACCATCCAAATATTTTCTATTTCATTTTTTACCATCTAATTGATATTGCACATTTGAACATAATTTTTTCTGACAGGTTCAACGAGTGACTTTTTAAGGAAATTCTCCAACTTTTAAAATAGGGGACTTGATCAAATGGTATACTGAGTGCTTTGCTAAGACGTTCAGAATCATCAATGTACATTCG